TCTGTCTCAAAAAAAATAAAAATCTTCTAACAAAGAAAAGCCGAGGATCAGATTCTACCAAACATTTAAAGGAGAATTAATACCAATTCTCAAACTCTTCCAGAAGATCACAACAGAGGGAATATTTCCTAAATCATTCTATGAGGTCATCACTATCAAAATACCAGAAAAGGACTTTGCACACACCCCCCAAAACAAAAAAACAGTAAACAAACAAAAATCCAACCCTACAAACCAATATCCCTTATGACTATAGATGTGAAAATTGTCAACAAAATATTAGCAACCTCAATCAAGTAGCCTACTGAAAGGATTATACACTATTACCAAATGGGATTTACCCCAGGAATGCAAGGGAGATTCAACATAAGAAAATCAACCAGCATAATGCACCACATTAACAGAATGAAACAAGAAAACTACACGGCCATCTCTACTGACTTAGAAAAAGCATTACATAACTGGGCGCAGTGGCTCACGCCAGCACTTTGGGTGGCTGAAGCGGGTGGATCACTTGAGGTCAGGAGTTTGAGACCAGCCTGGCCAACATGGTGAAACCTCATCTCTACCAAATATATAAAAAACTAGCCAGGTGTGGTGGTGCGTGCCTGTAATCCCAGCTACTTGGGAGGCTGAGGCAGGAGAATCACTTGTACCTGGGAGGCGGAGTTTGCAGTGAGCTGAGATTTTGCCACTGCACTCCAGCCTAGAGGATAGAGCAAGACTCTATCTCAAAAAAAAACAAAAAACAAAAAACAAAAATCACAGAAAAAAAAAAAAAAGAAAAAAAAAAGGAAAAGCATTACACAAAAGAGTATCTCCAATATTCTTTTATGATAAAAATGCTGAACAAACTAGGGACAGAAGGGAATTTCCTTAACATCATAAAGGGAATTTGGGAAAAATCCACAGGTAACATCCTACTATTATACCTTTTCGGAGAGGGTGGTCCAGTATGTCTGAGGTTGAGCTTTTGACCAGTGCAGCCTGAAGATTCCATGGATACATACAGGGGAGGTTTCTTTTTTTTTTTAAGACACAGTCTCACTCTGTCCCCAGGCTGGAGTACAGTGGCGCGATCTCGGCTCACTGCAACCTCCGCCACTCAGGTTCAAGTGATTCTCCTGCCTCAGCCTCCTGAGTAGCTTGGACTACAGGCATGTGCCACCATGCCCTGCTAATTTTTGTATTTTTAGTAGAAACAGGGTTTCACCATGTTGACCAGGCTGGTCTTGAACTCCTGACCTCAGGTGATCCACCCGCCTCAGCCTCCCAAAGTGCTGGTATTATAGGCGTGAGCCACCATGCCTGGGAGATTTACAGGGGAGATTTAAGTAAATACCCTAAAGATGATGGCAGTAAAGTTTCTCATTGATGATGAAAGTTGTATACATAATATGGAAAGGGAGAAGGCTAGAATAAATTCTTTGGTGTTTGGATAGAATTAGAAGTATCAGTTTGATTCCATGGTCTTCAACATATATACAGCTCTAAATATAGGTAAGTCTATGGATGCATGTGTGTATACACACATACAGATCCTAGTTCTATCAGCTGAAAGAACCCAGTAGAACTACTGACTCCCTGGAAGCAAGAAGTACTACACTTAGCACCCAAAGCTTGATTTCTAAATACCATTTTCCACTTAAAGAAGACAGGGCTCTTATGAAAAATGGCTAATGCCAGGGCTGGGGTGGAGAAAACACAAGATAAACCTGGAATGTTTACTGTACCAAATGAAAGGAAATGTTTGAAGAATAATGGAGATATGTCAGAAGTACACCAAAGAGTAGAACCAGCTCTAAGGGGCTCTCACCAGCCAAGCTGAGATATAACTTGAATGGTACCAAAGAGATTCATGATAAAGCTTATTACAACTGCCCCTCCCTTGGTCTCAAAACATTATCTCTTTGCAAAACTGACTAAAGGGCAGACAGAACTCTGTTTCTGGCAGGACAGCCCCCAACCTCATATGCCCTCTCAAATTCTACCTGCTACACCACTACAAACTTCCCTATTTATAGAGACTAGCGCCAGGAAGGAGGCTAGGATTTGAGCAGATTGTCCACTTACCTCAGAGGCCAATAGGACTAACTCCATCATGTCTTATATGCCTGTTTACTGACCAAATACAAAGCCTCGAAACTCATAGGTTATCCCTAAACCCACAACCATATGGCACTGTGAGATGACCTCAAGTCTGACACAATTTTATGACTGTCCTTTCTCCAGCAAACCCTTTCACTGTTCTGGAACTCACAATCTACCATTTAGAAAACTGCTTATATCCTAAACTACAATTTTTTTCCCCTTTTTGTCTAAGTAAACAAGACTATCTCCTGAGGACACCATTTCCTCTGCAGCTCTCACAAATGGTGTCACTTTTCTCTTCAGTCCTTTATACGATTGCTTCTAGAGCTAAGGTAGGTCTCCTTGTTCTTCGGTGTTTCTAGACTTCCTTCCATTTGCCATCCTAAAATTTCCAACTCCTCTGAAACACAGGCCAACTGACTATATTCCCTGCAACTGTTCCTTGGGCAGTTGTATAAAAAACCTTCTACAATTCCTTCATTCACAAACTTTGGCACTATCTTACGCTTTCTTGCTCTACCACTATTTCTACCATTGTTTTTGGCAACTTCAATATCCAGACAAAAAAAAAATGCATACAACACACTAGCCTCTCAGTTTCTGAACCTGTCTGTTTCCAACAATCTTGCTCTCCACCACATCTCAATGACCACACCCATGGTTATATCTTACATTCAACTACAACCCTCCAAATCTCAATTTCAAGCATTCCATAACTAACCATCACCTCTGACTTCTTATCTCAGCCCCTCAATACAATTCCACCATCACAATTTATTTGTCCAAATCAAGCCCACACAAAGCTGAAATTCCATAATCCCTCACTATAATAACTCCCTTGCCTTTTACTCCCTTCTGTGTTACACTCACTTGCTAAAACCAAAACGTGATTAAAATCAACTGTTGGTCTTGTCCTTACCTCTATCCAAACAGTTAAATGTGACTAAAGAGAGTCTTGCTTTGTCACCAGGCTGGAATGCAGTGGTGTGATCTTGGCTCACTGCAACCTCTGCCTACTGGGTTCAAGTGATTCTCCTACCTCAGCTTTCTGAGTAGCTGGGATTACAGGCGTGCACCACGCCCAGCTAATTTTTGTATTTTTAGTAGACGGGGTTTCATCATGTTGGCCAGGCTGGTCTTGAACTCCTGACCTCCACCCTGGCCTCCCAAACAGCTGGGATTAGAGGTGTGAGCCACTGTGCCTGGCCAAAAAATACTTATTTTAAAATATCTTAAAGACTCATAAATTACACAAATAATACAAAGACCTCCCATATACCCTTCACTCAGTTTTCTCCAGTGGTAACAGCTTACATAGGGTAAAAACCAGGAAAATTACTTTGGTATGTAATCTATTGCTATCTACATATATATATATTTTAAAGGAGAATAGCCCATACATTTTCAAAAGATCACCCATAGGAGAAGGGGGAGAACAAGGTGGAGCTTGACTTCTTTTAACACATCTTATTTTGTAGATTTGAATTTGGAACTACATAGATATTTTATATTATTGTAAAACTAAACTGAATTTGAACAAGCAATCCCTAAAAACAAGTTAGCGTAAATGAGTATTCCCTTGGTGGTACAACAATAGAGTAACAATTTTAAATGATATCAAAACTATATTATCTGGCTGTCTATCTATATTAGGGTATACCCTTTGGACAAAAAGAACTGAAAAAAACAATTTAAAAAATTTTAGTAGTCATAATACTGGTGGTAATGTTGGTTGTTAGGCAGTAAATGTGTAAGATAAGTCTGGAACATTCTGTCATAGTAAGTACACAACGTAGCAAGGAAGGTACCAAAGCATATAGGTTGTTTCTAAAGGACTTGGGCACCAACCTTAAGAGCTCTCCTTCAACAAAGATGGGACAATATGAGCATCAATAAAGACAATAACTGCAGTGGATTGAAAAACATCAAGTATGTTTAAACCTATGAATACACAATGATACTTGAAAGCAGAACAAAAAAAAATGAATTATTACCAGTGGACCATGCTAATGAACCAATTCATTCTTTTGAAAAACTGGCAACCAAATAGAATCCTTTCCTATGAATTGCACTACTAAGGAATCAAAAAATGTGAGGAAATTTCTCTATACAGAAGTATCCAAGCTAATAAATGAAAAAGAAATATTAGAGTAGCACACCATTTTGCAACCCCTGATGAATTAATGAGTCTAGGCACTAAGCACCAATGACTGCTAACATCACACAAGACAGCCAACCCCCAGGCAGAATGATTAAATATTACATTGAGGTTTTTATAACCAATAGCTATTCTATTTAAATTTCTTTCAAGTCAGGAGTTCTACTAAACTGATCCATCCTTTTCACGTATGATCCACTAAATGGGGTCAGCAAACTTTCTACAAAGAACCAGATGGCAAATATTTTGGGGTTTCTTGGATATAGGGTCACTGTTGTAATTACTTCAACTCTGCCTCTGCTGTTGTAGCGTGAAAGTAGCCTTGAAAGAGTGGGTGTGCCTTTTTTTTTTTTTTTTGAGACTAATGGGCTATAGTCTGCTGACCTGCTCTAAATGATAAGGTAGAGAAATAAATGATCCCTAATGATAAATTAATTTTTCCCAAAAGAAAAGTTAATCTTGTGATTATTACTCAATTTTCAAATTGAAATCAGCAGAAGGTATAGTCAACATTATTTTCTGGCTGCCCATCTCTTAATTTATTTTGTTAATTTAAAATGTGTGGTAAGCATCCAATGTGTTTTGACAACTCCAAGTCCAAAGTTTATAATTTTTCAAATTGTAATAAAGCAGATCTTATATGTTAGGAATCCAGTAGTAATTCCTTATTTGATATGAATTAACTTGATATATACAGGTATAAATACATGGGTATATACACAGAAGTAATTTAGATGGTTGGACATTTTACCTTATCAGAAAACCAAATGAGCCTGGAATCTTCATAATACCTAAACATGCCATACTTAGGATCCAATAATTCCCTCATGATGAGCAAGAAAAATTCTTTGCGCACCCCTCCTGCATCCACAGCATCTTCTCCAACAAATATAACCTAAAATAGCACAATGCAAACACCGAATAGACTGTAAAGAAATGAAAGTACATTCTGGAGACCCTAGAACATGCTATTTATTACTAATACTCTACAATTAATAGTTTAAAATACACATAATTTTATTTATTAAGTTTCAAAGATTCACTAAAAACAAATAGGAAAATTTTAAACATAGCTTCTGAATAAAAGTCCCAATTATACAACAAAATGTCAAATTACCTTGAGTGGCTTCTTGTAATCTATGTTCTTTGTTTTCCTAAGGACTTCCATTGCATCTCCTACAATATTTTCTCTACGCACCACTAGAATTAGGCAGGGATTCACAGATTCAATCACTGGGAGAAAAAGAGAGGAGACGTTCTGCCTGTGGGCCTGATCAATAGCCATCTGGAAAACAAAAGATTAACATTTTAACAGCAATGCTACAATAATACTGTGACTGAAACAGGCTAACCTCTACCTATTAGTTACAGGTATTCTATAATTCCTGTGCTACTGAATTAACACAGCACCTAACGCAGTATCCAGTACAGCATAAAAACTTAATAAACTGAGCATAAAGAGCACCCTTTTGAATGCTTTTATATTAATGTATAATGTATAACTCATAACACCATTAAAGTAAGCCAGTACAGAACTATAGTAACACTGATAAATCTGAGCCCTAGTTTTTCTAAAAAACATTCACTGGAGGGTAAAGAGTGAGGAGAAAAAAATAAACCTTTAAAGAGTATAAGGAACAGGCTAGGCAAGGTGGTTCACGCCTGTAATCCCAGCGCTTTGGGAGGCCAGTGAGGGCAGATTACCTGAGGTCAGGAGTTCGAGACCAGCCTGCCCAACACGGTGAAATGCTGTCTCAACTAAAAATACAAAATTAGCAGCGCACCGTAGCAGGTACCTGTAATCCCAGCTACTCAGAAGGCTGAGGCAGGAGAATCACTTGAACCCGGGAGGCAGGGGTTCCAGTGAGCTGAGACTGTGCTATTGCACTACAGCCTGGGTGACAAGACCAAAACTCTGTCTCAAAAATAAAAAATAAAAAACAAAGAGAATAAGGAATGCTCTGGCTAAGGAAGTATTACACAAATTCACTTAACTGAGTAATCATGGTATGTGCTCATGAACCAAGGATTTGATTTTTACCATTTAAAACTTTTGTTCTTTTATTATGATTCTCCCTGAGTTCTTGCTCTAAAATGGAATATCCCATGGTAAAATCACCAAGTTATTAACTTACTGTTTTAACAAAGACCTCCAAAAAACTGGTTTACTAGCTGTTAGTATAGAATACTACAAAAATATTTAGAATACCAAATGCATTTATTTGAACAGAATAAAAATGGTTACCAAGATTTGAAGGTTTTTAATTTTTAAAAATATTTTTAGACTATTAAACATTCAAGCTTTCTTTTCATCCTTTCCTTAATCCTTAGTTGGTATAGTCAGATATTCTATACCAGAGGAAGCAGCTCAAAATCTTTTTTATTTACAGGATCAAATGATAAAGCAAACTTACTGTAACCCTTTAAAGTCATAATATGAAGTAGTTTTTAAAATCCTCTCTATAAATGAAAGAATGTTCAACATAAAATGGATGGGAAAGGGTGATAGGAAGGGGAAAAGAAAGAGGAATAGGAGATAACGGTGACCAACCCCAGGAAAATGTTTAATACCTTATTATTGAAACTTTCTTCAAGGAAATTTCACATCCTCTTCCTAACAAGAGATCAAATGTTTCCTACTTTTAACATCTCTCACCTCTAGTGACTTCCATCTCTTACTAAGCATATAAAAACGGGACACATAATGAAACAAGATTTTGAAACAAACCAATATCTTATCAAGTAAACTAGTAAAATGGTTTATAAAGACTGAATATTTGCAGCAATCTTCTTGATAGCTACCCAAAGTACTTTGTGTACCTTCATTACTGATCCTAGGAAAATTTCAAATATTTACTGTCCAAAAACATCAAAGAAACAATTTTAAAAAAACCCCCTCTCAAATTAGATTAGTAGTATACAATATTTTACCTGCATCTGTAAGACTGCATCGGTCTGTAACAGAGTAGTTTTTGCTTGGGCATCAAATACAAATGGATATGTACAGATTGTAACAGGGATATCTGCCAACTGGAAATAAAAAATTAACTTATTAGTACAAGTTGATTTGTGATATACTTATTGTGGATGCTGTCATTTCTTATAAAGTGGACTACATTCTTTGTTTATTCACTCGTGGTTCTGGAATTACAAATAAAACATGCTGCTTACAGAATTATTAAAAATTAAATGAGGCATTGGAATAAACCCAATTCCCAATTTTAGGGGGCAACTGTATACTTGAGAGTCTATACAATCACATACTGCAAGTATCTTTTGCTTAGCATATGTTAATTGCAAATCTCAGTGAATGAGGCTGCAAATTTGTTCTAAAATTGGGGCTCCTATGTTAAATACTGTAGCCAATTCTTACATGTTAGGGCAACTGCAGCAACTGAGGCTAATAAGTAATCTGTCTATTCCTTCACTTAACAGATATTTATTGAGTATAATGTCATTAGGATGTCAAAATTATTATAAGTCCAACATCTGTTCACTTACTTAATATGCAAAAAAGTACCATTTAGTATTACTATTCTGTTAGCCTTTAAAGTTAGGAAAACTGATCTATTATTACCATTATAAGACATTAAACACTTCATAGACAATTACTTATCTTAGTAGGTAATGTATTGATTGCTAAGTATTTTAACAGTACAGTAAAATATAAAGAGTTATGAATTGCCAGTCACATATTCTTGTAGTTGGCAGAGGACCTACTTCCACCATCTACCCAATAAGACAATATCTTTGTGCCTGCTCTGACTCAGAGCCTCTGCTATAAGACTTCTAATGAAGAATTAATACACCATAAAACAATCCACTCTGTAGTGATTAGATAGTTCTTTATAGTCTGAATCTGCATTTCTTTTTCTTTCTTTTTTTTTTCCAGACACAGTCTCGCACTGTCGCCCAGGCTGGAGTGCAATGGCGCAATCTAGGCTCACTGCAACCTTTGCCTCCTGGGTTCAAGTGATTCTCCTGCCTCAGCCTCCCGAGTAGCTGGGATTACAGGCGCCCGCTGTTGAGATGGGGTTTCACTAGGTTGGCCAGGCTAGTCTTGAACTCCTGACCTCATGATCTGCCAGCCTCGGCCTCCCAAAGTGCTGGGATTACAGGCGTGAGCCACTGCGCCCAGCCTGAATCTGCATTTCTATGTTTCACTGTGCATCATTTAGTCTTTGTTTTGCCCCTGCTGGAAGTGTACGTAGTTTAAATATTTGAAGTCCTAATCACGCTCTCCCTAAATTGTATTTTATTCCATTCTAAACATTCACTCTTCAGTATTTTTCATGTGACAAGGTTTACCTCCATCCTATATTTGTGGCACTGCCTAGCTAATGATCATAAATACCAATTTTACTTCTTCGAAATTCAAAAAGATTTAGATATCTCTAAAGTACCCTTTGGCTTCAAAACTCTGTTTTCAAATTTTTTTTTTTTTTTTTTTTTTTTTTTTTGAGACGGAGTCTCGCTCTGCCGCCCAGGCTAGAGTGCAGTGGCCGGATCTCAGCTCACTGCAGGCTCCGCCTCCCGGGTTCACGCAATTCTCCTGCCTCAGCCTCTGTTTTCAAATTTTTATGTGCTAATTATACTTGACAATGAGGAAGCAAACAATATTAGAGCTATAATTTAAGGCTAATTCAAAATGCTTCATTGGTTCAAGTGCTGGAAAAAACATAACAATGAACAAAAAGCAAATCAAAGCAAAACCTAACATCTATAACAGAAAAAGAAAGTTTTATGTTCCCAAGTGTTAAAAGGGTAGTCTAGGGTTGTTGATTACTTAAACCAAAGTGCTAGAACTTTATATATTAGAAGTGAGAAAGATAATCATACAAAAAGTTTAACTTTGTGACCATTCTGAGTATCAACTAATCAATTTTAAAAATGATATTTGTTTTACTTCTCTACTATAAAATGTTTTCACACATTAGGTAGGCATTTGCTAAATTTTAAAATAAAAGTTTGCTTTTTTATATTCTGAGGACACATTACATTTTATACTGGAAGACCTGAGGAGGATAGATCTGAAGCAAATATTGTTGAGGCATTATATAGGTGGAATGTTAACAGAATTTCATTTTCTTCAGAAAACTTCTAAAATGTTATTATACAAGTTAATCTCTACAGACTCAGTTTTTAAAAATGATACATATATATTTATTTACATTTTTAAACCACAACAAAAAAGGAATCTTTGGCTCTCCTATTACTTAGGAGAAAATGGAGTATATCTTACTCTGAACATGAGCTTTATTACACCAAACTTACCTCAGTTAATCCATGGTTGACATCCTAAGACAGCAGTGCAGAATATAACAATAACGAGGAAAGAGCAATGTTAGTGTCCAAATTTAACTATTTCTATTCAAGGTAGCATTTCATATATTTTGCTACAGCAGAATACTGAAGTAATGAGGTAGAAAATACATCTACAATAAAATACACCCCCTAAACATGCATCTTATATATATTTATCTATAAATGTAAGATCTTTGTTTCAGGTACCTTGTGATCATAAAATTATTGAGCTTGAACATAATGAAATTTGTTTTCAGCCATTAAACACCCCCATTTGCAGAATTTAGGCAGAACAAGAAAACGAATCCTATGCCTGGATTGGTCTTAAAAAAATAATTTTATGGCTCAGTTTTTCTACTTAAAAAATAGAAAAAACATTCCTCAGACTTTAAGACTTCTAAAATCTCAGCAAAATGTTTGACAGCGTTTAGTAGATTAAAATGCTATATGGACACAAAGTGAGAAAAAATAAGCCATAAATTGTTTCTATTGGACAGAAAAAAAACAGTAAAACATAAGGTATCTTACATTAAACATTCTTTAAAACTGAATTAATTTAAAGTAGAAAGTACAGGACAGGGCAAAAGGGTTGGTAAGCAAAAATAAATAAAGAGAGAAAGATATATTTATTAAGGAAGTAATAGTGGAAATTACAATGAAAGCTTACCACTTTATTGAACAGAAACGTACATTTTCTTGTAGAAAGCTTCCATATATGCTCAGAGCACAGACTCGTGTAAAGCACCAGAATATTCAGAACTATGTTATTAAATGTGTGGATGGTACTTTGTGTTATGAGGAATTAATCTGACCCCAGAAGAGAGCATTGCCCTAGGTTACTAGGAGGCGACCTATAGACCTGTGGAATATCAAGCCTGATAGGAGTGTCTTTGTTTGCCTGGGGCTTTAGCCACCGGACAATGTGACTTGTGATAGGGGCTTGGGCCATGTTCTGTCAGTTCTGCCTCCAGAAGAGCTGGGAACTAGAGGTCCCTACATGAGCAGGATATGACTGAACCCCATTAAAAACTCTGGGCACCAGGTTTCTGGTGAGCTTCCTTGGCTGGAAATACTCTGTACCACACATCTATGCCAGGAAAGTAATTCATTCATGACTCTATAAGGAAAGGACAACAGAAACTCTGCCTCTGATTATCTTTCCCAGACTGTCCCCTATGTGCAGATTTTGGCTGATTTTTTTCACAGATGGAACTTTTCATTTGTCACTATTAAAAGCCTAAATTTTTTTCTCTCTCTTTTTTTTTTTGAGATGGAATTTGGCTCCTGTTGCCCAGGCTGGAGTGCAATGGTGCCATCTCGTCTCACCACAACCTCTGCCTCCAGGGTTCAAGCGATTCCCCTGCCTCAGCCTCCCGAGTAGCTAGGATTATAGGCATGTGCCACCAGGCCTGGCTAATTTTATATTTTTAGTAGAGAGGGGTTTCTCCATGTTGGTTAGGCTGGTTTTGAACTCCTTACCTCGTGATCCGCCCGCCTCAGCCTCCCAAAGTGCTGAGATTACAGGCGTGAGCCACCGTGCCCAGCCAAAAGCCTGAATTTTAAACAGATTCTTGTATTTGTGGTCCACATCCATCAGCTCATATAACTTTAGCACCTGTCACATCCCCAGTAGCCTTTCTAGAACTACTACCATCACCATGAAGTTCCCTGGTTTTCCCAATTCAAACTTGGGCATCTTCAGCATTTTTACTTATCTAACAAGGACAAGCATGGAGAGGATAAATAGACTGGCAAGCCTTTTCTTTATCTTTTCCAATGTTGTCAGGAATCAATTTATTGACCACTTCTTTCAAGTCACTTGTCTGAACCTCTTGGATCATGATTTTCATCACCTTCTTCTGGATTTGGCGGACCTGTTGGTGCTGAGAGTAAGAGGTCTTCTGTATCTGACTGTTGCGTTGCTTAGTAAAACCAACACAGAACAGACGAAGCAAATGACCATCAGTGGTCTTGACATTAACATGAGCTTCTTTCATGATCTACCAGTTTTTGGCCATGCAACTCATTCTGTCACAGGTAATATCCATGCTATGGAAGTTAGGTAGTTTAGAGCCTCAACATCCTCAGTAGTCAGCTTGGATTTTTAAAATGCAATTTCATCATTTGCAGATCAGAAAGGTTCACTTCAAATATACACAACCCTTGAGGCCATCAGATATAATTTTGGTTCCTTGAGTCCTGGTGACTAGTGTTTCTCTCCAATATTTCTTACACTAAACATAGCATGTGCTTTCATACCATACCAATCTTTCTTAGAAAGTAGATCAACCACTCCTTGGCTGACTATTTGTCATCTTTCATAAGGTGCTTGTTCTTGCCAAATGTCATGATGCTGCTCAGAGAGTCAAAAGGACCCTTGGCTGATTTTAACCCACTATCCTTTCTCTGTAATCAACTCTAATCATCAGTGTAACAATTTTCAATGAGTTCTGGGAGGTCTTGTAGCAAATTATCAAACCTAAGAATAGTTTGGGGGACCCTCCCCAAACTCACAATTGGTATCAGAAGTGAAGGCAGTCTTGTGTGGACTGTTCTCTTTAACTCTGTAGTTGACTAAGTTCCCACATGTCACCAGGGGTATTATTGGAGGATTTAAGATATTAGCAAATAGCAAAGACTTTGGGTTCTCTCACTATATTGTGCTAAGTAAAGCCAAAGCAGTGTGTAAGCATAAGCAAAACATCACTCTATGCAAATCCTATTCAGAGGAAGAATATTATTGACAAGAATTTCTTTCAAAAAATTCAGAGTACCAAGTTATTACTACGTAAGTGCTCCTATTGACAGTGTAAACAAGATGAAAGTCTTTACAGACTGTTCTGCAAAAAAGCCTTTTAGATTACACTCAGTTTAGCTAGAAGGCAATATAAAAGGAACAACCAAAATCCTTTTATAGTATACCTTGTGGGACTTTTTTTGAAAAAAGAACTTTATTATTTTAAAGCAGCTTTAGGTTCACAGCAAAATTGAAAGGAAGGTGCAGAGACTTCCAATATATCCCTATCCTCACACATGCACAGCCTTCACATCACCAATATTCCTCTTGTAGGACATTTAAAAAGTGCTATTACTAAGTAAGAAAGTTTAAATAAGAAAAAAAAAGCCTATAAATATTCATCTATGGCCTGCTTGATAACTATACTATATACCAAGGGAGTTTATAGTATGGGAGATGGATTTCCTCCTTAGCTAAATAATGAAATATTAGTATTTATGCATTATCTTTTTTATTACTACATGTAAGTAGATATAGATGCTATGCATATCATTATACATTGGGGAAGTCAATAAGATAATGTTAGAATTTATAGTGCGACTAACCCATACTAAGCAGAATATAATCTGGTTACACTAAAAATTGGAAGAGAAAGATGTGAACTGGCAAGAATATGAAAAATAATAGGCCATGCAAAACTTGAGAAAAAGAGATGATTAGACATTAGGTAAAATCATTTTTCTAAGAGAGAGAAGCACCAAAGGAAAAACCAGATAAAGATAATTAAAAGTATCAGAAAGGGAAGAAAAAATGGCAAAGAGTTTGGTAGTAACCAATAAGGTATTTTTACAAACAATTTAAAAGCAAAGTTAAAGGAGGATAAGGAAACTGAGAATAGTACCTAGAAAGTACTCTTAGAAAATGTTTCATTGTAGTGCACATAGAGAAAGGCAGCAAGAGAACAGAGTTATTAGACACGTCAGAATAAAAGCTACTGCCAAATTTGTAGCCTGTGTCAAGGTAGCCAGCAATAACAATCACCATTTTATAAAGACTTAACTATGTGCCAGAAATTACTCTAAGTCCTTCGGAGGGATCATATAAATTAATCTTCTCAAAATTTTTTAAGGTAGGTACTAATATTCTAATTTACAGAAAACAAAATGAAATCTCAGAGAAATTAAGTAATTTTCCCAAGGACTGAACTGAATATATGCTGAGGTGGGATCTGAACCCAGGCACTTTTTCATAAAAGTTACCCTGCTTTCTCATCATACATATTTATGTTGTGAGCTAGAATTCTTAATCATCACAACATCCTCCATAATAAATTTTCCAATTTGTAATGTTATTTATTATTTATTTATTTTTTGAGATGGAGTCTCACTCTGTCGCCCAGGCTGAAGTGCAATGGCGCGATCTCAGCTCACTGCAACCTCTGTCTCCCGAGTTCAAGTCATTCTCCTGCCTCAGCCTCCCAAGTTGCTGGGATTACAGGTGCCCGCCACCACGCTTGGCTCATTTTTGTATTTTTAGTAGAGATGGGGTTTTGCCATATTGGCCAGGCTGGTCTAGAACTTCTGACCTCAGATGATCCGCCCACATCAGCCTCCCAAAGTGCTGGGATTACAGATGTGAGCCACCACATCCAGACTGTAATGTTATTTATAATTATAAATTTGTTGTGGTCTTAGAGTTCTTATAAGAACTGAGCACCAAGAGTTTAGTACTAGTTTAATGTGTGTATATATTTATATAATATGTAAGTGAACACTGGGCTTCTTAAGAAATTGTTCTTCTTTAAAAGGGTCCACATATCCCTCCAAATGTTCTGAATCCTTTCAAAAACACTGCTAAAAGACCTAGGGTACCCTGGTTGGTGTGTGAGGGTTTATATGCAAAGTCTTGGTATGAACAAGGTTCATTTCCAGAAGAACCAATTTTCCTCAATGGCAAATACATTAAATCTCTTTTATATTGCAATAAATATCTATTATGCCCATAATGCAAAATTTGCATTTAAAGACAGAAAATTAGCCTCAGTTCAAGTCTTGCTGAGGGAAGGTTAAATCCTTAAGAGATATGTTATTTCTCCTGCCTTCACAGGTTCTCTGAAGGAAGAGTTTGAGAAGCTTTACCTAGGTCAGAGATGAAGAAAAAAGGAAATATTTATTCAAAACTTCGCTGAGGTCAATTATTTTCTTTCTTAAAAAATTATCCCTTGATTCCAGCTACCACTCCATTTTTTTTTCTCCTCTTCAATGCAGAACTTCTTCAAAGTATTGCCAATGGTTGTTACTACTTCCTTACCTCTAAATTTCTCTTTACAACACCCCAACCCTAGAATGGTATTATCAAGGTTACCAATTACCTTCATGTAACCAAATTCACTGTCAATACTATGGTTTCATCCTCCTTCTCTGGAGCATTCAACATTCTCTCTTTCAATTTTAAATTATGGTTTCCAAGACTCTCCTAGTTTTCCCCCTACCACACCTGCTTTTTAATCTTTGTGGATTTCTCTCCTTTCCTCACTTCATATCCAATTCATTAGTGATTTTTATTTTCCTTTTGTTACCAAGATTTCCTTTTATCTCCAAGATGTATTCCAAGTCCATTTCCTTCTTCCATCTAAACAGCCATCATCCTAGTCAAACTCATCATTTCCTCTCCCCTAATCTACTAAAACATAGCTTTCTCATGGATCTCCATCTTTCATGTCTGTCCCGTTCCCTACAAAGCCAACAAAGTGATTATTCAAAAAGATCAGATTAAGTTTCCACCGTTTATCGTAACACTTTAGATAAAATCCAAATTCCTAATCCTAGTTTACTAAACTGTCTATGATTTGGCCCCTGCCCATTTCTCTGTTCCCTCCTCACTCCCATAAGCCATGCTGGCTCTTTTTTTTTCTTTTCTTTTTTTTTTTGAAACGGAGTCTCGCAGTGTCGCCCATGCTGGAGTGCAATGGCATGATCTAGGCTCACTGCAACCTCCGTCTCCTGGGTTCAAGCTATTCTCCTGCCTCAGCCTCCTGAGTAGTGGGATTACAGGCGCCCATCACCATGCCCGGCTAATTTTGTATATTTTTAGTAGAGACGGGATTTCACTATGTTGGCCAAGCTGGTCTCCAACTCCTGACCTTGTGATCTGCCTACCTTGGTCTCCCAAAGTGCTGGGATTACAGGCGTGAACCACCACACCCATCCCCATGCTGGCTTTTTTCTATCTTTCAATCATGTCAAGCTTGTTTTCACCTAAGGTCCTTTCCTCACTTCATATCCAATCCATCAGTGATTTTTATTTTCCTTTTGTCGCCAAGATTCCCTTTTATCTCCAAGACGTATTCCAAGTCCATTTCCTTCTTCCATCTAAACAACCATCATCCTAGTCAAACTCATCATTTCCTCTCCCCTAATCTACTAAAATATAGCTTTGTGAACTATGTTCACAAAGTGAAAAGAACAAATGTTCATTGTTCTTGAAATTCTCTCTGCCCTGATCTTAAAGGGCTGCTCCTTGTCATTCAGATTAACACTCATACTTCATTAGACAAGTCTTTTCTGAAACCTATCTTTACTAAGTCCCCTCATTTTAAAAGTACATATTATTAGCTGGTATTCTTTGCCTTGTTTGACTATTGCTAATCTTGCCCACTAGATTACGAATTCCAGGAGAAACAAGGCTCTGCCTGGTTCAGCACTGTATTTCCAATACCTAAATCAGTGCCTGTTATATAACAGATTCTCATTGTTTGTTGAATAAGCAAGTGAGTACATCTAAATCTACAGAATGTCTATAAACCTGACCCAGCCTCAAGGTGACTCAGGAGAAGAGTCAATGAGTCTCTCCCAGTACAGACCCAACTGCACTAAGGAAAAAATGTCTAGAAGCAACCTGATTCTGGGAGGTGGGAGTATCCTAAAAACAGCATGCAGTAGCCAGATTGCCATTCAAAAACTACTATACTTTTTTAGTGCTTACTAGACATATTCTAAACACTGTCACAGGTGCTGGTTGACTGACATACCCATCCACAAGAAGCTTACAAGCTGGTGCCTAGCAAGCAATGAAAGGTTACTCATCCTTCTATTATATAAGTGCTGCATACATATTAAATTACCTGTATGCAGAAAAGTGGGCCTCAAGTATACAAAAATGGCTAGCAAATAAGAATAGTAAACCTAAATATTTTGTATCTAGCTGCTTACCCATTTCTGCATTAAAATTTTATGTGCCTAATTCAAGTTTTATGTAAGACTATGGTACTATTTTAATGGGATAGTAAGTGTGTAGTTATTAAAGACTTGGCCACATAAAAAGATGTGTGCACCCACATTTATATAAAAAATCTGAAATAAAAGTAAACACATAATCGGCTCACTGCAACCTCCACCTCCCAGGTTCAAGTGATTCTCATGCCTCAGCCTTCTGAGTAGTTGGGATTACAGGCATGTAACACCATACATGGCTAATTTTTTGTATTTTTAGTAGAGATGGCGTTTTGTCATGTTACCCAGGCTGGTCTTGAAATCTTGAGCTCAGGCAATCCACTTGTCTCGGGCTCCTAAAGTGCTAAGATTACAGGCATGAGCCACCGCACCCAGCCCTCTTTTGGTAGTCTTGAAGCACCAATTTCATAACAATAATGCATTCTTAGGAGTTCCAGTATGAAGAATGCCAGTATTTTCAACATTGGAGAAATAAGAGGCAATCTCATGGAAAATAAATGAGTTAAAAATCCATTTCACATTTGCAGTTTTTCTCTTTTTTAAGTATAATCCATCTCTTTGGTTTGGCTTTGGTAAAAGAGTAGAATGTTTGTATATAAATACTGTATAATATATAGCACTCCTTTTGCAATGTTTTTTTATTTAAAAAGTAAGTTCTGGATAAAAGTTCTGAAAAAACTTTCTCATTTCAAAACCAAGTAATTGTTTCTTTTTTTTTATTAGATACATATACATAAAAATGATACATAAAAATGAAATCACAAATTGCACAGAAAACCTACCATTCCATAGGCCTGCTGTTGGACCCAGTTGATATAATCATTCCTTATGTCTATCAATTCTTGTACTTCATGTATATAAAATTTATCATACTGTATAATCTGTCCCGTTTTCTCATTTACCTACAAAAGAGAATGTAATTGACATTAAATTTAACCAGTACTCAAGACAGATAAATTTTTTTTTTTTTTTTTTTTGAGGTGGAGTCTTGCTCTGTCGCCCAGGCTGGAGTGCAGTGGCACAATATCATCTCACTGTAAGCTCCAACTCCCGGGTTCAGGACATTCTTCTGCTTCAGCCTCCCGAGTAGCTGGGACTACAGGCGCCTGCCACCACGCCCGGCTAATTTTTTGTGTTTTTAGTAGAGACGGGGTTTCACCGTGTTAGCCAGGATGGTCTCGATCTCCTGACCTTGTGATCCGCCCGCCTCGGCCTCCCAAAGTGCTGGGATTACTGGTGTGAGCCACTGCACCCGGCCAAGACAGAGAAATTTAAAATGTCTAAAGAAAAAAATGCTTTGGGGATATTCTTAGCTAATATTTTCTTCCTACAAAAAATAATTACTGAGTGCCTACTATATGCAAAATGCTAGTTAAGTGCTATGGGAGACCCAAAGATTTGTAAGATGTGATATCTGCATTCAGTACCCCAAAATCTAGAAAAGAAAGACATGTCTTTATAACTACAACACAGTATGAGATATGGATGATTAAAGTATATATGGTATATATAAACTAGATACTATAAAGACTTATGGTTGGGAAATGGGACCTTAATAATAATAGCAGCTAATGCTTGTTAAGTGTTGCTCTGTGCTGGCATCTGATTAGAATAAATTTTAGGAAGTGATATCCGGACATGATGTGAAAAATGAAGAGGATGCAAATTACCACCCCAGAGATTATCTATTAATTACAAAGATAAGAACAAATCTTTACAGTGCAGAGCACCATCTTAATCAAGTGATCTAACTAATCATCACCAACACTGGAACAACGAAATATTATGTTCTTGGTGATATAAATCAACAGGAAGCATACGAATGATCTATGAAGGAAAAATGGTTTAACCCAAATCCAATCAAGTCTCCTAATCTAAATTCTAGGTTACAGGAAATACAAGGGATAGAGGAACAAGTTAAATAAATATTACCATGAGGAAACAATCAGACAAATCCTGATTATGAAACTTTTATAAGAAAACTGGCCAAGAGTCTTCAAAAAGTCAAGGTAGCAGGGATCGAAAAAAAAAAAAGGAGCTATTCTAAATTAAAAGAGACTAGAGGAATTCTGGTACTAAATATGGCATAATACTTTGTATCAGACTAATCTTCCTGACACTAACAATTATAACTCTAGACAATACATTAAAGAAAACTGCTGTACTTAAAAACACTGAAGATCCACCAAAAGTAGGCAGAAACAGGAATGGACACAAGCAGAGAATAGAGCTCAAGCAGAAAGCAGCAGTCTTAATAGACAGAGACTGAAGCTGCCAGCACAGCCAGCCAGTGAGGAATAAAAAAATCAAAGAAAGGAATCCAGAAGACGAAGCCCCAAAATCTGTGTGCAAACTCCCCCCACATCCTTGGCTAACTCTAAACCATGAATGCACAAAGTAAGACCTGCTAAAAGTAAATAAATAAATAAATAAATAAAACTCAAACCCAATAAACCAACAGAAAGTACAGCTGAGAGGCTACTCCTTTTTCTTTTTCCTGAGATGAAGTCTCGCCCTGTTGCCCAGGCTGGAATGTAGCGGCATAATCTTGGCTCACTGCAAGCTCCGTCTCCCAGGTTCATGCCATTCTCCTGCCTCAGCCTCCTGAGTAGCTGGGACTACAGGCGACCGCCACTACGCCCAGTTATTTATTTATTTGTTTTTTTTGTATTTTTAGTAGAGATGGGGTTTCACCATGTTAGCCAGGATGGTCTCGATCTCCTGACCTCGTGATCCGCCCACCTCGGCCTCCCAAAGTGCTGGGATTACAGGCATAAGCCACCGCACCTGGCCAGAGAGGCTAGTCTTACAATAAGAGTTCGAAACAAGCATTTCCAGAGGAAAAGGGGCACATTTCATAACAATAAAAGGATTAATTCACCAAGAAGTCACAACAATCCAAAGTAGCAGACCTTGAAAATAAACGAAAGAGAAATCAACAGAACCACCATCATAGTTGGAGATTTTTAACAATGCTCTCATTAACTGATAGAAAAAAATAGACAAAACCAGAAAAAAATAGACAAAACCAGCAAGTATAGATGATCTGAACAATTTAAACCAACTTGCACTCACTGTCATAGAACACTTCACCTAACAATTGTACATGAAATGTTCACTAAGATAGACCAAATCCTGGACCATACAGTAAGTCTTCATACATTTAAAAGAATCCAAAGTATACAACATACGTTCTTTGTCCACAATGCAATTAAACTAAAATCAGTAATAGAAGATTTGGAAAATCCTAGAATACTGGCAATTAAACAAAACACTTGTAAATTACTGAAAACTTTTCTTGAACCTGTAAGAGAGCTAAAGCTACAAGATAACTAAGTAGCCTGAATCCAAGGATCAACAAATGCTTACAAAAGGTAATAAGGTGCCAGAAATGGCTCATTTGTGGCAGGCAGCAAGAGGAAACTACTATTGTCATACAAGCAGAAGTAATATGCTAAAATTTTAAGGATCACTTCAAGCTGAGTGTGGGGTAGCTTGATAGTATGAAACCCAGCAGAGTCCCAGGCAACTGGCACTCACAGCCTCTTGCCCACAGACTGCCACTGGGTGCCCATGAAAACAACTGGAAACAAGGCAGAGGGGAAAAAAAAGGAAACAAGGCAGAAGATCAAGAGCCTCTCTCAATGGTACAAGGAATTAGCTGCCATGTGAGAAAGGAACAAAGGCCCGCCACCCTGTCCAGATCCTTCCTTCACACAGAGCAAAAGCCTTCAGCCACTGAGGAAGGGGAAGCAAACCCACGTCTCGTTGCTGAGGGAGGGAAAAACCTTCAATTCCTGGGAGGAAAGGTGACAAGAACAGTCCTAGGCTCAGAATCTTATATCAGTAGGACCAGAGGTCTGCAATTGCTGGGGGAGGGAGCAGAAACTGCCACACAAAAAGATCCAAAGCAGTGTGGTTGCCACAGGGAAAAGGGGAGGGAATTCTGACAAAGTTCCATGCGAGGTCCACGCACACATAATTTACCTAAAACCAAGGCTATGCTGTAACAACCAAGAACCATTTCTGTTCCCTCTCCTCTACCAATCTTGAAAGGACTGAGTAACAAGCAACACCAGTTTACAACTGACAAGAGGAAAGAGTGAGAAGAAAATCCCTCTAAGGAGTAGGCATGCAAAGTGGGGCACAAACATTCACAAAAACCATTTGACACTCCACTTCCACCCTAAACACACCGTACTACAGGCCTCAAATTCCTCCAGTGTTAGAGGCCTCAAATTCCTCTAGCATTAGAGGCCTGTAGTGTAATGAAGCTATTTATAACAAATTAAAAATTCAATCCCAGCGTAACCTCTGACTAAATAAACTCAAATCCTTACACTAATACCAGACAGGAGAGGTGTACCAATTTATAAGCTTTAAACCTACTGATTTCAGTTTCTTACTATTTTATAGATAACCCAATATTATGAGACATAGCAAAAACCAACTGAACGGGCTGGGAGTGGTGGCTCATGCCTGTAATCCCAGCACTCTGGGAGGTGAAGGCAGGCAGATCACCTGAAGTCAGGAGTTCAAGACCAACCTGGCCAATGTGGCAAAACCCTGTCTCTACAAAAAATACAAAAATTAGCTGGCTGCGGTGGCACATGCCTATAATCCCAGCAACCTGGAAGGCTAAAGTACAAGAATCACTTGAACCCAGGATGTGGAGGTTGCAGTGAGCTGAGATTGCACCACTGCACTCCAGCCTGTGTGACAGAGCAAGACTCTGTCTCAAAAAAAAATTATTAAACTGAACAAAACAAAACAAAAAAGTGTCTAGAGACAAAGCAATCAACAGAGTCAGATTCAGAGAAGACCCAAATGTTGGAGCTAGGAAACAGGGGCTTTAGGAAATATTTTTAACTTAAAAGTAAAAACACACAAAAATTTGTGGGATGCTAATAAATCCAGGCATAAAAGAAAGAAAATCTATAGCATTAAATGATCATATTAGAAATAAAGGTTAAATCAATGATCAAAGTTTCTGCTTTAAGACTCTAGAAAAAAAAAAAGATGATATTAAGCACAAATCAAGCAGAATGAAGGAAATGAAGAGAAATCAATGAAAGAGAAAACAGAAAAACACTAGAGAAGAAATTAAAAGCAATTGGGTTATCTGAAAAGATAATAATGAATAAACCTACAGTCAGACTGACCAAGAAAAAGAGATGACACAAATTACCACTATCAGGAATTAAAGAAGAAACATGATTACATACATATCTTGGTAAAACTGACTCATGAAGAACTAGAAAACCTGAAATGTCCTGTATTTATTTTTTAAATTTAATAGGAAATTAAAAATTTTCCCAAAAGAAAACTCCAGGGCCAAAATGGTTTCACTGATGAATTATATCAAACATTTAATAAAGAAGTAATACCAATCTTAACCAAACTTTTTCAGAAAATAAAGAAGGATCATTTCCTAATTCATTTAATGAAGCCAGAATAAACTTGATACCAAAAGCTGACAGCAATATGAGAAATAAAAATTACAGATCAATATCCCTCATGAACACAGATATAAAACCCTCAATAAAATATTAACAAATTAAATCCAATAATATATATAAAGTATAATATACATATAACACCAAGTAAAGCTGATCCCAAGAATGCAAGGTTGGTTTAACATCCAACTATCAATGAATTTCACAATATTTCTGAAAAAAAGGAGAAAAAATATCATCTGTTCATCTCAACAGATGGAAACAACACCTGATAAAATTCAACATCCATTTATAATAAACACTCTCAGCAAATGAGAAATGGAAGAAAATTTCTTCAAACAGATAAAACCCATCTCACCGCCCCCTACCCCCCATCCCCCACCCCCTGACATTCAACATTATACTTACTGTTAAGATACTGAATGCTTTCTTTCTAAGATTAGGAA